AATCACCACAGTCAGATTTTTAATTGCATTGGCATCCATAAAAAAATGGCACATTCATCAACTTGATGTCAATAATGCATTTTTACATGGAGACTTAGATGAGGAAGTATATATGAAACCTCCTCTTGGATATTGCAAAAAAAGGTGATACAAGAGTCTGTAAACTTTTAAAAAGTCTCTATGGTTTAAAACAAGCCTCAAGGCAATGGTTTTCAAAATTAACAAAATGTCTTATAGACTATGGTTTTGTTCAATCAATTGCTGATTCCTCCCTTTTTACAATGCAAACTGCATCTTCATTCATTGCATTGCTTGTATATGTTGATGACATAATAGTTACAGGAGATAACATTGAGCATATTTGTGACATTAAACATCACCTTGATCAGTGTTTTACCATTAAGGACTTAGGTTCTTTGAAATATATTCTTGGCTTAGAATTTGCTCACTCTGATATGGGAATAAATATGTGCCAAAGAAAATATGCTTTGGACATATTAACTGATACTGGTTTCTTAGGCTGTAAACCCCCACATACTCCCATGGATCCCACCCTAAAATTATCTGCATATACTGAAACTGACACTTTAACTGAGCCTACAGCCTATAGAAGATTAGTTGGCAGGTTGCTGTACTTGACCATTTCCAGGCCTGATATTGCATACAGTGTGCAAACATTGAGCCAATTTCTGTCACAACCTACAACACAACACTTATCTGCAGCTCACAGGGTCTTAAGGTACATCAAGGGAACAGTTGGTAAGGGTATCATTTTCTCCAGAAATTCTACTCTCTCATTAAATGCTTATTGTGATAGTGATTGGGCTTCTTGCATTTACACTAGAAAAAGCATTACTGGTTTTTCCATATTTCTTGGTAATTCTCTCATTTCTTGGAAATCAAAGAAACAGTCCACCATTAGTCGATCCTCAGCTGAGGCTGAGTATAGGGCCATTGCATCCACAACATGTGAAATCCAGTGGTTACTTTATCTATTTGATGATTTTAAAATTCCACACACATCACCTGTCTCTTTATTTTCAGATAGCAAATCTGCTATCGCAATTGCTACTAACCCCGTTTTCCATGAGCGTACCAAGCACATACAGATTGATTGTCATCTAATTCGAGAAAAAGTTGCTCTTGGCATAATTCAGCTGCAGCATGTGGACACAAAAGAACAAGTTGCAGATATTTTAACAAAAGCCCTACCAGGACCTCATTTTTCCTACTTGCTGTCCAAGCTTCACATGACAAATATACATGTCAAGCTTGCGGGGGGGTAATAATATATATGTAAAGTTGTTGTAATATTTTTCATGTAAAGTTATTGTTTGCAAAACAACAACTATAGCTTACAATTGTAATTACTTTTATACCCTTGTACAACCCTAAGTATAAATAATGGGAACATCATCTCTGTACTCACTTTTTTCCATTCACAAAATTAATACGCAGTCTTTTGTTCTTCTTTTCCCGTGTTGCTCTTGTTCTTCAATCTGTTCTTCAATCTAATACATATCCTGAAAGCATGATTTATAATAGTTAGAAAAAAAAAAAAAAAAGATGATAACAGATCTTAAATTCTAACTTACTCACGCATCTTAATGAGTAATAGAAGAATTTAAAAAGTCAACCCCAATAAAATAGTAAAAGAATTCCATAGTATTTTAAACGTGTGAAATAAAATACCTACCACAGCCCTAATCCTATCTTTATTTTTCTTATTTATGACATGCATATTATTGTCTCTTAATTTTCAATTGGATAATGACTTAGATACGTAAGCATTCACTGCCCGACCCGACCCGTTCTACTGCTCGATTTGATTTGCTAAAATGAAAAGCTTATTATTATTTAATTGTCAAAATTAGAAATTCGAGATTAAATTGCAAACCAAATAAATTGTGAGATTTAATTTTAGGGTGAGGGTACAGTCTCGTTATAGAACCATTCTGTTGAGATTTGTAACCGTTAAATGCACATCTATATTAGTATAGTAACGAAATGATTCCGTAACGACATATCTCGATTGCGAGTGAGATTCAAGAAACACAAAAAGGAGTGGAATTCCCGTAAATAAAGCACAATCTTGGGGGCAATTGTGCCAACAAAAGTGAGGAAGCGAGAGTCGAAACATATGAGATTCGAACCAGGGTTAGTCTAATCTCTGACCATGGTAAAAGTCGTCCCGTCTCTATCCATTTTCTTCCTCCCACATTTTCCACGTCACTCCCCTTTCTTTTTTCCACTTTTTCAAGAAAATGCAGAAGCCATTGTACCCCGCGCTTCAGCCTCTTGTACATTACACCCACCTCACTGTGCATTAAATCCTCTCTATCCAATTCCCCTCTCTCTTTCTCGACTCATGTAATCTCTCTCTCTCTCTAGAAACCAGCCTCCATCTGTATATAACTCCAATTTTCACATACAATCTCTCTCTCACTCACTGTTCGGTGCTCTCTCTCTCTCTATATATCTCTCCCATTACCTCTTTCACATACGCCTCTCGCCGGTGCTGGCGTGGCCGGGATACTCCGATCGCCGGTGAAAGGTTCCGCCTTTCTCATCTTTACGGTCTTTTGTTATCTTTTATTGAGAGCCCATTGTGTGAAAAGGTCGTATTTTTTTATCTTTCGCCGGTGCTGACGTGGCCGGGATACTCCGATAGCCGGCGAAAGGTTCTGCCTTTATCGTCTTGGCAGTCTTTTCTTTATCTTTTATTGAGACCCCATTTTGCGTAAGTTCGTATTGGAGATTTGAAGCTCGTTTCTTGTTCTTTTATGGCGATTTTATTGGTACATTTTTTTGGTGATGGAGCTAATTTTGAATTTTACTGTTTGTATTTTTTTATTTTTTCAATTTTGTGATTTGATAGAATTGGTGATTTTGGCTTTGGGGGATAAGCTTGACTGCTTGAAGACTAAAATTCATCATCGTATTGTTTCGATTTTCGCTTTAAGGTAAGCTGTAATATTGTCCATTCTGAATTTAGTGAATGTTGTGAAAAGGCATTGTTGATGTTGTTTGCTCTGTTTAACTCTGTGTTCATGTTTGTTTGATACCCATTTATGCTTTTCCTCTTGACCTCTGTGTGTTTCACTTAAGTTTTTGTACTGTTTTTGTTTTCCTTGTTTGGGTGTGAAGGCATTATAAGATTCAAATTTATTTCGACACTTTTGTTTAATATGGTTGTTTACCTTTTTTTTTATTATGTCCATTGTTAATAATAGTAAATATAATAATGTAAAGAGTTGATACTAGATTTCATGTTTCACAGCTTCATTCCAATTTCGTTCCAAGGTTGTTAGATGATCGGCACGTGTATTTGTATATTAAAAATAAGTCGCACAAGTATAACGTATAGCGTATACACGTCATTCATCTAATGTTATTGTTGTTCGAGTGTTTTAAACGGTTACAATTATGAAAGAGGTGTACATGAAATTGCAAACCGATATTATCTTAACCTATGGTAAACAACTTTCGACAATGATTTTTTGTACTCCTAATTATCTAACTAAGAATCTATTATGTATTTATTAGGTTAAAGAAAGGGTCTATCGTAGATTTTATAGAAAAAAAAAGTACGAAATATTAGATTTACTTGCAATGTAGGATCATGGTTTTGTTGGATTGTGGTGGGAGTGTAATCTTTTTGGTTTCACATGTTATAAGCTTAAACTTTGCATGCTGAAGTATCTCGTGAGCTCCATAGATACGAAAAGGTGAAAAGGAGGAAGCACGAGATTGTCCTGTCATTTAGTGTGTAATTTAACAGACTATATTATATTGAACGTTCATTAACGTGTACATTTCATGTTGCTGCATTATATTCTGTAAAGTTTATTGCTATAGATTTTTTCTTTTTGTCACGGACTTTTTGGTCGTCGCTTATGATTTTTGAGTTTGTCTAAAATGATTCTGAAAATGCTGTTGTTGTAATGCTGCATAGCAATAGGGCATGGAGCTAATTTTATGATATGTCACTATAAAAAAAGTAAATGGTGAACTATTGTTTTTGCTGCTTCTGTTTTTAACTTTTTATTTATTTTTTCCATATTTTTATGGTTAGCAACGGATTAGGTAAATCTTTTTCTCTATAAGCAGCCGTAGGCATTAGATGTCTGTTTGTCAGAGAAAAATTTTGATTCGTCGTTAACATATTCATATGTCTGATAAAAAGGAGATATCAATCGGATAACGGCAGAGATCAAATCTCAAATGTCTTTTAATTGTTGGTTTGTTACAAGTTAACTATGGAATGTTCCATCATTAAGTGTACAACATTTTGTTGCTAATATTGTTTTGGCCACAACGCTTTTCGACACACATTTTTTGATAGACACTCTTCTGCATTTTACCCGTATTGGTCCATAACTTTTAGATGACTAAATACTCTTCTACATAAGTTTCATTATCTCATCTACATTTTTTTTTTTTTTTTAAAT